GAGAAGTGAAGATTTCGCGCCGCATTTCAAAGAGTTTTCTCTTTCCTTGTTTATTTTATATATTGGATAATTATGCGTTTTAGGACCACCTTGTGTGTATTTTTACTCCAGCAATGGGGCAATTTTTTAGTTGGTTTTATATGGATTCTAGACTTCTTTTATTGATCATGTTGAGTTTTTAGATTTGTAACGATATTGCTTAATGTTTTTCATGAATTAGATTGCGGGACTACTATATTTTCAAGTGTTGCAAGAGAAGAAATATATATAGATCAATCGAACACGAAGAATCTTAGGTCAGTTTAAGTCATGTCTTTGCTTAATACATATCAGAAACTTCCTCATAACAGATTCGCTGAATTTAAGGGAATCAGAATTAACTGTGAGAGTAAAACCCAAGCTGTCAGGGAATGTTGTACTCCTATGAAAACCTCTTACACAGAAACTAAATAAACAGTTAACTAGTTGTTGAAAATTTTCATTTTAGGAATTTTGTCGTGCTGTTGAAATCAAACTCAAACTGCGTACATGTTAATCAATGCCCTAACGCTTCCATCCAGTTGCATCTCCAAAATTTAGTTTCTTTTACCCTAATTAATTTCCGTTGTTTCACATGAGACCAACAACCAACATTAACATCTTAAATGAACGTCTCAGGATGAACACAATTTTAATTGCTTGCAATCCTAGTTACTCGACCCTTGACTCTCATTCTATAACTTGGAATGGTTAGAGTGCCCTTACTAGTGTCACTACGACACATCAGCACTAACCGCCTGAGGTCTAACCACACTTGTTGCTGCTATGATAACAAGAACACACAATTTTGAGCTTGTTACTGAGCATTCACTGGAAACTACTGATCTTATTAATTTTGCCGGTCAAACATTAAAAAAGAAATGAATTATTTTCTATAGTTTCTTCAAGTGATCAACACCTGAACTATAACAACTCAAGGGCAAGGCTCCATGTTTCTTGGGTTGCAAAACGCTAACCAAATTCAATAATTAGGCAACGATTGCTGTGGTATCAATTACAAATTAAAGCAGATGCTACAAGAACGACAAGGGAAGGTGACACCCCACTCCCCCCGCCCCCTACCCCACATCCACGTTTAACAATGCACAGGCAAATCTCATGACGTCAAACTATTGCATCTGGTTATGATCAAGAAGTGACATTAAATGAAACTTCTACACCTTTTCCACCAATCCCAGCAACAAAACATTGGAATCCGCATGTCTCTAACTCAGCCATCAGCTGATCAACAACCGTTCCTGATAGCACTAGAAATTCTTGTCAAGGAAACAAGAGAAATGTGCAAAACTTAGCAGGAATTTTTTTTGTTTATGTGAAATATTCTATATAATGGGAAATATTAGCAAATTTATCACCTGCATGTCAAAGGCAAGTACAGCAACAGAAAAGTGAGAAATACAACAACATGAACAACCGCACAAATCCATATACTAGAGTAGTTATGTAATGTCAATCACCTAATCAAATGCTTTTAAGTGCATTAGATTTAGATATCCCTGTTTCAGGAAAATAAAAAGGAAAAACTTGACAAACAGTAAGACTGACATAGAAAGAGTGGGGGTTGAGGGCTAGCTCACTTAATAAGCTTCCTGGCTTCCACAGTTGAGGAGGAGGATTCAAATCCCATCAGTTGCGTAGTATCCCTTCCCCTTTTCCCCTTCCCTTCCTCCTCTCCTGATGTAATAAAAAATATTTAAAAAAAGAAGAGATAGAAACAGTGGGGGACGGAGAGAATACGTAGACAGTAAAAGGTACATAATCTTGATGTTACTGTAGTCAAGATGAGGAATTGCAATCCTGATTTTGAATTATTAAATGGGTTCAAACTCTTTGCTATCTGTAGAACTATGTTAGTCTTGTCAATTTGGCGCAACTATACTTGGTTAACAAAACTATCTAGCAGTATCATATTGAAATGCCCATAAGAAAAGTCAGTGCTTTGACAGCTATATAAAAATACGTTCCTAATAAACACTAGAAATTTTTAATCGTTTTGTGTAATGTTCAGTAACCTACTAAGCAGCATATTCCTATATGAACTGCATTAACCTCAATTATAATCTAGACATTCAGACGAAAAAACTAAGCTATATATAAAGTAGACAGATCAGTTAATGCATCTCCACCACATCAGCCAATGCAGCCCTCTTATGAACCGAGGGAGAGCAGATGCATGAAGTAAAATAGATGTAATAAAAAGTAATTCTTCAGGAGAAGCAAAATCTGATGTGAGAATATCAACACTGAACAGAGAAAGCATATCCAGAACTAAACATATTTTAGTAATGATAGGGAGACAATGTGATTAGAAGGGCATCTATCAGAAGAAAAAAAAATAAAGGATACGTGTAGGTAGTAGTGTCAAAACACAGCCTCCACCACCAGCTCCAGTTAACTTGGAAGATAGTTTGTACTTTAGAGTCGTTCGAAGCACAGTTTCTATAGAGGCATGGCTAACGCCCATGCACTGGAGCAATCCTTGGTTCATCTCCATCAACACTCCCAGCTTCTCTTCCTTCTCAGTTATGGCAAGATCATCGGAGACAGGTGACTGAATGATGGTAGCTAACTCGTTGCTGATGGAGTCAACTGCAGTAAACACAGAAGCCATAGCGGTTGGATGCCTCATGATCCTCTCCGAGACGCTAGCTACCAATGCCTTTGTATTTCTTCTGACCTTTGTGTTAGTGATCAGCATTTTAATTGGCATGTTTGTTTTGAGGCATGTCAAATCGCCAGATCTGAACTTGATCATATTTCCTGGCGCATAAAATTTTTCAGGTGGTGCAGTTACCAGATCCTGAAATATTCTTTGAAGAAGCATCTCAAGGGATTTAAGTATTCTATATTTTCTGAATTAAAAAGTAAAAGCAACTAAGTAGAGCATAGTTATGTAATGATAACTTGATGATTCTAGGATAAATAGAAGGAAATTGCCCATCTTCCCCTCCCAAGAAAAAAGTAAAAGAGACCACGGAAAAGGAAATTAGCAGAAAGAAAAGGTAAATGAAAGAAATATAATTTAGGAGCGAGCCTTCTCTACAGATCTTCTGTGGCCAAGAAGGCTTCAGGGTCTCCAATTATTATGTGCTTTTAATTAGATAATCTTTTGTACGGCTCATCATATTAATGAAATAGAAAACTTAGGTTCTAGGATAATCTAACCTAATTATTAATTTTGTTGATGATCAAAAGGCCTAATTATTCCCTCTATCCCATTTTATGCAATAAACTTTCCCCATTAGTCTTGCCCCAAAAGAATGACGAAATTCTGTATTTGAAAAAGATTTAATATTAACATCCTCATTTTACCCTTATTAACATGACTTATTGAGAATCCACTCAATATTTAACTTGATTTTATTAGGAAAGAAAAGTAGGAAGTGACATGTGGAACTCTTACCAACTTTCATTTAATTGTTAATAGTAAGGGTAAATTATACCTTGCATATATTTAGCTTATGTGAAAAAGTCCTTTATTTCTTAAACTTCGTGCATCAAGCATCATCACATAAGATGCGACGGGGGAAGTATATCTTATTTCATGCTGACTAAAAAAGAGAAATTTCTATTTAAACAAATTAAATTGGTAAACCAATACAGAAGAAGAAAGGACAGAGAAGTTATTATTCTCCTCCGTGCAAATCAAAAGCTACTTCCTCCACCCCAATTTAAGTGGCAGTGTTTGACTGGGCACAGAGCTTAAGAAAAAAATACTTTTAAATTTATGGTCTAAAACAAGTTATAGACTTTTGTGTGGCTATAAGGAAGTACGACAGTCTTTTTGGAACAGACATAAAAGGAAAGTATGATACATAAAGTTGAACAGAGGGAGTACCTAATTTGGGTGAGCCGGAACATAAAAGGTAAAATAATCAATGAAACTGCATTTTCTTCTATGAGACGTCACTGATATTCTTAAATTTGCAATTACTATTCCTGAATGCTAATAAGTTTTATATGATGACAAAAGCATGTTTGACATGCTTGCCCCTTCCCCCAGAAAGAAGATATTCTGGCTCCACAGCCTCCTCATGTTTAAATAGGATGAAGCAAAGTGGAAAATCCAATGATTTGTATGGCAGTGTTTCATAGCAATGGTAATATGTTTTATATGTTGAGCATGATATTTGAGTCCTAATCAGTAATTTAATAAGTTCGTTCCCGAACAGAGATATATATTTCAAAAAAAAAAGACGAGATAAGGTTCAGATAACAATTTAAGAATTAGAGAAAACTCCTCCATTCAACAAAAGAGGCTTATAGGAAAAAAATTCAGAAGCCTAATGAACTCTTTTGAAACAATTTATCTTAAATTTATTTCTCATCTCGTTGAACAAAAGAAGATTGCTAGGCTTTTACTATGGTTCCATTACATATTATCTTAAAACAACAATATTAATTTAGGAAGCTCTTAATTCAACTTACTCTTTCTTTTTCTTACTAGAATTAAGTTACAGTCTTAATTCAACTTACTCTTTCTTTTTCTTACTAGAATGCATGATATTTTTAATATTTCTTGTTAACTCCTGCTTTTACATACCTGCTTTTACTTTTCAATCACAAGCTAACTCATTTCACCCAATTTGGAAATAATTTTCATATATTTCCCTGCGCTAATGACTTTTTTCCTTACCTGATTGATTGCAATGGCTTTCTCTCTAATTTCTCATTTAAGGAAACCACACTATATAGTATTGACTGTCACATACCATATGTGCTCACGGTGTTGTCAATACCAGATGGCTTCCCATGAATTATTTTCTCACCCTCAAAAGCCCATTTGTTCAGCAATTCCAACTCACACTCTCCAAATATTTGCCAATCTTGGTGTCTGAAATCCATACTAACTGCATCAGACATAGCAAGAAGGGCTGAAGAGACTGCAACACAGAAAGCTGCAGATGAACCCAAGCCTGATCCTAGTGGAAGCTCAGAATTGACAACTGCTTTTGCTGGTTTGGACCTGATAAAGCAAGTCAAGAGAAGAGAACAATGAGATTTGTGAAGTCTGTACTAAAGAATGCTAAGGTTAACAAGAGGAAAAGAGTTCAGACCCGTGGATTGAGGTGTACAGCCAGAGAAAAGCGGAGACACCACCAGCAAGTCCATTCTTCGCCTCGGGAATGTTTTGTTCATCAACTAGAGAAGCAACTGTTTTAAGCGTCTCCAGTGAGCACGAAGAAGGTGACATAGGAACTTGAGCATCCAAGTTAGGGAAAGCCTCTTTAATTCTTGCAACCGGCCAGGAAAATTCTAAGGACATATCCTTAAGCTGGAGTCTTAATGTTTCGGCATTATCTATTTGCCGAAGAAATTAAGAAGAAAGGAAATGCAATTAGTGAAGCACAAAATGAAGCTACAACTAAATGCAATAGATCACCATGAAAAGGAAAACAGTTCAGGCAAAGCATTCTCTTTCGGGTGTGCAAGAACAATAAGCTACTTAAGTAATACGAATGAAAATGGAAGTTAAATTAATTGAACATTTTCAGATTGAGATATCCATTAGACCATTCTCATTAAGGATTTTAGCATCTGCTACAATCCCCAGAGTTTTCAGTTTGAACTGCAGATAGATGTATGTCAACATCACAACAATTATTCCAATTAACAATCAGTCATATTCCCTTAGCAAAGGAAGTTCGTTAGGTTGTCATTAGATTCCTGGATGAAGTTTCGATGCATTTTTCTTTCTTGATGCGTTTGGCATGATGGAAAATGTTTTCCACGAAAAGTTTCCTTGATGAAATCGTTTCACAACATTTGGTCACCTTGAATTATGGAAAATTTCTCTAATAAAATGATTTCCACCAAAAGGATAGAGATGACTTTCGTAAATTCTTGGTGGATGCATTTTCCTTAGCAAATATCCCAACCCTTACTCCATATCACTTCCTCTACCTCTAATCAACAGTTAGACATCAACAACAACATACCTAGTGTAATTCCAAAAGTGAGGTCTGGGAGGATAGTGTTTATGCAGCTTACCCCTACCTTGTGCAGGTAGAGAAACTAATTCCGATAGACCCTTAGCTCAAAGCAAGCATGCATAACCAATCACAACACAATAGAGAAAAAAATGCAGCAGTGAAAATATCAAAGAAGCAGTCACACCAACAAGATAATAGAAAAACCAGAACAAAAGCAACCAGGTAGTAATAAAAATCTAGGAATATGGAAATACGAGGATAACACTACTACTACTTAAATGAAAGAAAAGACACTCGACTGTTTACTATCCTTCTACCCTAGATCTTGACCTCCACACCCTCATATCAAGGGTCATGTCCTCGATAAGCTGAAGATGTGCCATATCCTGCCTAATCACCTCTACCCAATACTTCTTTGGCCTACCTCTACCTCTCCTCAAACCCACTGTTATCAAATTTTCACACCTCCTCACTGGGTCATCCGGGCATCTCCGTTTCATATGCCCGAACCATTTCAGCCACGCTTCCCGCATCTTGTCCACCATAGAATCCATGCCTACCTTGTCCCGATATCGTCATTCCTGACCATATCTCTCCTGATATATCCACACATCCATCTGAGCATCCTCATCTCCGCTACTTTCATCTTCTGGACATGAGAGTTCTTGATTAGCCAACACTCTACCCCATACAATATAGCCAGTCTAACCACCACTTTGTAGAATTTACTTTAAGTCTTGGTGGCACATTCTTGTTACACAAGACACCGGATGCTAGCCTCCATTTCATCCACCCCGCTCCAATACGATGTGTGACATTATTATCGATCTCCCAGTTGCCTTGGATTGCTGACCGAAGATTCTTGAAACTTCCTCTTTTAGGGATGGCTTGTGAATCCAGCCTCACTTCCACGTCAGCCTCCTAAGTAACGTTATTGGACTTGCACTCCACATATTCTATCTTAGTCGTGCTAAATCTGAAACATTTAGACTCCAAGCTCTTTCTCCAAACCTCTAGTCTAGCGTCAACTCCACCTTACGTCTCGTCAATCAATATTATGTTATCTGCAAATAACATGCACCATGGTACTTCTCCTTGAATGTGATGCGTTAATACATCCATCGCCAAAGCAAATAAGAACAAGCTAAGAGCTAATCCCAAGTGTAACCCCATCACGACTGGGAAGTGACCCGATTCTTCTCCCACTGTAGTAGATTGCCCCGACGTGAATCCAAATTGGCTCTCAAAAATAGACACATGCCTCCTCACCCGCACCTCCACTACTCTCTCCCAAACTTTCACAGTGTGGCTTAGCAGCTTGATACCCCTATATAAGAGCCTTAACGAATAACGAAACAAATTTAGAATGTCCGAAAATAGTCATCTTTTCTTCTTTCTAGTTCATTCAATACAAGGCTAGTCCTGAACACTGCTAAGTCCAATGGAAGAGCCAACAAGGGATTTCGAAAAGATGCAAACATGCATAGTGAGTGAATAAATTAACTATCAAGGGGATTCAACAATTTATATCTATATATACCGAAAATTTATTTTTACCCTATTTGTACTGTGCATAACATCATCTTTAACGGTTTAACTTTCCTTCTCAAAAAACTGGTGTGATGATCCAAAAACTGATATCCTTAGATAAAGTATTTAACATTTCCCATGGAAAACATGTTCCTCTATATGAAACGACATGATTATCACTATCAAACATGTCATTATAATGCAGTATTCAAAAGGAAACAAGGTCCAAAAGCACCTCAAAATTAAGAACCCTAAAGAAAGGGGTGATGAAGGGACAGAGGAAGAGGGATTATAAAAAAGCCTAATACACATTTTGGGCTTAAAATTAGAAAGTGCTTCTGCCAACTAGCATGCAGGAATGTTGGGCCAGGACACTGAAATTCGAAATTATTCACGGTAAAAGTCTCTAAACAGGGCATGTATCTCAAAATTTACCAATCCAGTAAAATCAATTCAGAATTCAGTCATGTCATATACATAGTTAATCAAAATTCAATGCATAGTAGAAACAGCGTCCACATTAACAAAGATTTAAATACGGAGATGGAGAAGGAGAAGAGAGGAATATAATATATATACCAGGAGGAGTAGGGAAGCGAAGGGAGACGTAAGTATAGAGATCAATAGAGGCAGCGACGGCAGTTGATCCGTGAACCACCGCGTGTTCCCCTGTTAATATTATTTTTCCTGGAGCTCTTGTTCTCACCTCCATTTTCTCTCCCCGACTAATCGAGCGTGTGTTCAATGCGTGTGTGTGTGTGTGTGAGAGAGAGAGAGAGAGAGAGAGAGCGTTTATGTACATATTGAGCTGGTCCTCAATCACGTGGCGACTGCTTTTGGCTGAGTGTTGGCACAACTGCACACATTCCAATTCTCTTTGATCCCTCGTTGTTGCTGTCGTTGTGCGTCCATAACATTACTCTTCTTTGCTACAATTTCATTACATATTTGCAGAATCTATTTCGTAACTAATTTTATAATTAGGCACGACGGCAATATGAAGAAATTTTTTTTACTTATATACACGATAATATGATTTTATTTTTTGCACTTCACTATAATTTGATAATCCCAACATTCCATATTATTTGGTGTTTTTACCTTTTCATTTGGTCCAAAATAACTCGTTTTTATATAATCAAGAAATATTAATTTTAGTTTTCAAATTTTCTCTTATTAGTTATCATATATCTTATATTCCCTATGCTCTTTCAACTTATCCACATACAAAGATACAAATTTAATTAAGGATTAACTAGTCAAAATCTTTCTTAGTTTCTAGGAGTAAATAGTTTTTTAATAGGTGTACCAAAAACAAAACACCAAATAATATGGATAGGAGGAAGTATGTTATAATAGTAAACAATTTGAATGCGTTAAATGGTGCAAGTTGTTGTACTATTTGATGTAAGAAATTTTTAGTTAGAAATATTTTTTAGTCGTAAAACAAGTACATCAAAAACTATTTAACCGAACAAAAGATTTCATTGAAAGCGAGTGAATCATTGTACTACAACTTTTCGTTCGTATAACTAATTACAGGAGCTATTAGCGCAAATGTACAAATCTTTAGTTTTTTAACATAAAAGAACGAAACTCATATTACTTAAAACACATTACAAAACGCGGATATAGTCTTTAGGGCATTATTATTGCTCATACTTGCTAAATAAGTACATACACTGGTAGAGATGTTCTTAACACTATTACATATTTCATGCGTGTTCCTCAACACTTCTTGTTCAACAAAATAAGGTGGACGAGCATGGTAGAAACACTTGATAGAGGACGGGAGCTTGATTGCTTCCTTTGCCATCAGGTGTGCCACTTCATTTCCTTCTGTAAAGTTATGCTTCAGGATTGGGAGCTTCAGTTGGTACATTAACCATCTGCATTCAGAGACAATGTTATAGAAATTATTACAATCATCATGCATAAACTTAATGATATCCGTGCTATCAGTTTCGATTTCCATATTTATAAAGTTAAATTCTTTTGCAATCTTGAGTCTCTCTAGTAGAGCCATCAATTCTGCATGTGTGGGTGAAAAAGCCTTGATTGCCTTGTGAAAATTCATGATCCAATCTCCATTGCTGTTTCGGAATGTACCACCAATTCCTGCTGCATTGTTATTAGTAGAAAAGGCACAATCACAGTTTAGTTTAATCATGTTTTTAGGCGGTTTGTGTCACTTGATCTCTATTATGACTTTTTTGTTAGTGAAGGGGTTTTTTCCTGTGAAGAAGATATATTTCCATGCAAGGTGAATAGTTTTATTAGCATCCAAATGGCAATTGACGTTGTTAATATTGTTGCGATTTCTGTTTTTCCATATTTTCCATATGGAATATGGAAATAGGGTTTCCCAACAAATCTTGTTTGAATTATGGAGGATAAAAATATCCCTTAGATTAACAAGCTAGTATGCATCACTAATTATGTTGAGGGAAGTGAGGCCCATGTTTCTCCAACATTAGCGTGAGATTGGTCATTCCATAAAAATGTGATGGATCTTTTCTATTCCTATTCTGCAAGCGGTACAAGTGGCATCAATGTTTGTACCTATTTTGGTTAGGTAGGCTCAACAGGGAATATGGTTATGCATGCATTTCCATAAAAAAAAAATTTAATTTTGTTTGGACAACGAAGGTCCCAGATCCATTTGAAGGATTTGGATGTATGAATTTGGTTTGCTGAGGAGATTATAGCAAGACTGAGTAGAGAAGATACTTTAGAATTAAGGCTCCAGCTAATTTCATCAATTTTTTAATTTTTACAAGGTATTGGAGTTATGTTAAGGTTTTTGATTACCTCAGGAGGTAATTCAAAAGAAAGGGCCTTTAAATCTCAATTATTAAGGCTTCCTATTGATAGGTTAAGGTCACTCTTGTTGAGAGGGCCTTCAATTGAGGATCTTAGAGACTTGGATTTATATATCCAATTGTTATACCAGATATTGAAATAGGAATTAGGTGACGGATGCCAAAGAATACCATTGTTACAAACTTCCCAACCTTTGAGAATGGATTTCTAGATGAACGAAGTGTTAGTGATCGATTTTGATTTAGCATATTTGGTCATAATGAGATGGCACCAAGGTATGCAAGAGTTTTTTAATAGTCTCCAGGCTAGGCTAGAAAGAAGGACCAAATTTTTCTCTTTTGCCTGACGAATACCCAACCCTCCTTTAATCTTTTCCCTAGTAACAGTTTCCCAGTTAATTAGATGGAGTTTTTTAGCAGTACTAGTAGAGCCCCAGATAAAATCTCTTTGAATTTTGTTAATTATTTTTAGGGTTTTGGTGGGAAGAAGTGTGTATTGCATTGAATTATAAGGAATTGCTCCTAAGGTACTAGATGCTAAAGTGGCTCTTCCAGCCATATTAAGAAAAGCGCATTTCTAATGGGATAATTTGGAATGTATTTGTCTAAGACGAATTGAAAATCTTTGGCTTTTGGAGAATGATTAAGAATTGAAAAACCAAGGTATTTTCCAAATTCATTAGTAGCCTTTATTCCAAAAAGAGATGTTAGGAAGTTTGAGTGGTCTTTTGGGCATTTTTTTGGGATAATTCTTGATTTAGACTTGTTGATGGCAAGACCAGATTCCATATAGAAGAAGTCCATGTAATATTTGATGCAACGACTTGTCTTTTTATTTGCTTTACCCATTAGGGTTATGTCATCCGCAAATAGAATGTGGGGCAGGGAAGGTCCCCTATGGTTAATGTGAATAGGATCCCAATTTCTAAGATCAACTTGGTGATTGATTAATCTAGATAGGAGTTCAATACATAAAATGAATATATAAGGGGAGAGAGGGTCTCCTTGACGAATACCCTTACTAGGTTGGAAGAACTGTGTTCTTGTCTCATTCACTAAAATCTCCATTGAGCTCTTGTTATGCAATGCATAATGAGCCTAGATAACTTTGGAGGAAAATTGAAGTATTGTAGGGTCTTGTGAACAAAAGACCATTCTAACCTATCAAATGCTTTCTCTAAATCCAATTTAATAATCATATCAAAGTTGGCTTTTTTTTAACGACTAAGGTTATTCATAATCTCTTGAATTATGATGGCATTATCACTAGTTCTTCTATTTTTAATGAAGTTGGATTGCATAGGGCTAATCAGGAGGGCATGAATGGCTTTATTCTATTAGCAATTATCTTAGTGATAATCTTATAAGCAGTATTACACAACCCAATAGGTCTAAAGTTTTTGAGGTTGTTAGCATTAGGAAATTTTGGAATGAGACAGAGGAATGTATCATTGATGCCACCAGGTAAAGATTGAGTGCTGAAAACATTGTGATAATAAGAAGTAAAAGAGTTTCCTATTATATGTCAATATTTTTGGTATAAAAAGGGGTGAATGCCATTCGGGCTTGGTGCTTTGAATGGCTTAAAGGAAAAAATTACCTTAGTGATTTTCATGTTGGTAAGGGGGTTGTCTAGGCAGCTTAGATCTACCTTGTTGGCACTCGAGGGATCAATGATTGAATTGTTTTTTGGAGAAGCAATTTTAGCAGTCTTAAAAGAATCCATAAAGAAAGAAAGGGTGTGATCAATTATTTGCTTGGGTTCTGAGATCCATTCTCCATTATCTTTGGTGAAGTACATAATGGCGTTGCGATATTTACGATTGGATGCCATAATATGATAATATTTGGTGTTGGCATCACCTTCATTAAGCCAATTAATTCTAGATCTTAACTTTCAGAAATCATGCTCCATATGAAGAATATTATTATATTCCAATTGGAGGTTGGATTCAAGATTTTGTAAGAAGTCACTGTTTTGGTAATATAAAGAAGATTAGATTCCATTTAATCTAGCTAAACTTTTTTTCTTCTTTTTAAAAATATCCCCAAACGTAGTATTTTTCCATTTTATAACCTCATCTCTAAAATAATTTTGGGCATCAACAAAGTCTTTTTCTGACCAACAGTGCTTGACTACATTGATAAAATCCGGATGCCTACACCAAATTATTTCCAACCAGAATGGTTTATTACTATGGTTTACATTCCTAGGGATTAGATTAATAAGTAAAGGATTGTGATCCGAATGAGTTTTTGGAAGGTGTATTACTACAGCTTTTGGGTATAGGGTAGTAACACTTTTTTCAGTTGAGGAAAAATATGGGTAATTGGTTTTATTTGGTCGGATCAATATTTATCTCTCTTTCATTTTCTCTCTCTATCTCTTTTCTTTTTCTCTCATGGAAATTGTTCCACTTAGATTGGAGGATTCAAAAAAATAACAAAACTATTCCGCTCCTGTATTCGATTTTTTTTTTTTGACAACAAGGATCTTATTATATATATCACATTATAGTAGAGTTAACAACATTCATAGTGCTTGATAGGGCATTACCTACTTGGCTATTACAGTCCAATAGCATGTCTCGAAAGACATTTTTGTTTCCAAAAAATACTAGTCTAGAGCAAACATCTTTGTTAACATACTTAACTAAATAAGTCAAGCCTTCATAGTCTGATTTTAAGGCAGTGGTTACAAAATGAGGAGCATAGTAGATAATATTAAGATCCCTGCCATTGTTGCCACTTAGTGCATCCTTAGCCATCATGTGTGCCGGTTTGTTGGCCTCCCTGAAGGTGTGCTGCATTGCTTGAACCTTCACTTGTCTCATTAATAACCTGCACTCATGAATAATGTCATTTACTATTACCATTCTATTATCCAAACAAGTAATAACATCCGTTGAGTCAGTTTCCACTTCTAAATTGGTAAATCCTTGTCTCTTGGCAATGTAGAGGCCAATTTTCAAGGCCAACAATTCTACCTGAAGAGGTGTTGTTCCTGGAAGAGACTCTTGAAAGCCAACTATCCATTGCCCCTTACTGTCTCGGAAGACTTCACCAAATCCACAAAGAGATGATGTCTCTTTAAAGGAACCATCATTATTAAGCTTAAT